ACAACATGGCATAAGGCTCCAGCATGGGAGAAACTGACTTTCCGCTCAGATGCAGCTGCAGGAGCCTTTCAAGCTACAGCTCAGGCCCATCGACAACACAAGCACACCCAACTTACAAGCTCCAAGCGAGCTAGGCCCAATCCAAAAGCGGTGCGCACTAATATTATATATACACTTCGAGGTTCTCTGATCCGTTATCCACACTTTGAAAATCAGTGACCTCAGTTCCTACCTGTTTGTACTCATTACTCCATGCAAATTCTACACTGATCCGCTGTTTTCCTGCCGCCTCGTCTTCTTCATCCTCTGACTCTGGCAGGTTCTCTGTAGCCACAAAGCCAGTGCCTGCAAACTATCTAAACTAGAACTGCGAAGAACTGAATCCACGTGACTGAGGTGCGCGCGCACACAAGCCCGGCCAAACCCGACAGCTACATGTTTTCACAATCATTGGGCAAACACACACACACACACTCGAAACATGATGCGTACGATCTTAAAGCCCCATGCCACGAGGAAACCTTGGTATGAAACACGCCTAAGGGAACAAGTGGTATCAAAGAGGCCTGAAAAAACGGTTGGTACCAAACCCCAACACCAAAACATCCAACGGTCAAAGTTTCTATTCCGAAGCTTCCGTGGTACAAGATGCAAAGTACAAAGCTGCAAGTCCAAAGGGCACAGTTTCAAGTCCAGCGTTTCATGGCACAAGATGCAAGGCGAAGCATAAATGCTGCAAACTCCAAGCGGCAAAATGAAACGCTCAATGGTAATTATAGGTAAACCAGTCAGCGAATGGAAAGCCTGCTTCAGTAGAGGTAAGCAAGAGTAAAAATGAAAAGCCTCCTGTGATAGTGAGCGAGACGAAGGAGCCGCTCGTAGCTCGTACAGCAGCGATAAGAAAAGAGAACCAACAAACAAGTCTGCCGACGAAATCTGGTTGCGGCTTACGAGCGAGACCAACATATAGCTCTTTGGTGTAGACATGCAGGTGCACACCAGTGGACGCTTCCCTCTCTGACGCATGGTTTCATTTGACCCGAATGTGTGTGGAGGCGATAGGGATCAAACCAAATGACTGGGACAACCGATGAACCAAACCTGATTAAAAGAACGACCTGGGCCACCTAAAACCTAGTTTCAATGTACCTGTGGAGGCACGGCCAAGACGCATGTGCACGCACAAGAAAGAGAAAACAGAGATGAAATGACAGGACAAGAAGGCAGAAGGGACAGGAAAAGGAAAAGGAAAACGGAAGGGACAAGCCGGACAAGCCGAACCTCATTATAGCGAAACCTGGGGGACGTTGCTCGTTTTGCGCGAGCACCATGTGCACTAAACTGAGGGCTACACGAGAACTTGATCTCAAGTTAAGGCTGCACCCCCTGCAGCGTAAACCCTGGCTCCTCTTGTCCGCTCCTTCTGGCTCAGAGGCCTGCTCCGGTCAATCCAAGTCGTCAAGTCTTAATGCAACGTTTGCCCTGCTGCCCGCTACAAACTACTGCTGCTGCTGCTGCTGCTGCAGCACACAACGACTTCAGCCCCAGCGAGACACACACTCGAGATACAACGCGTACAATCTGAAGCCCCGTGCCACAAGGAAACCTTAAACACTATCGCTATGAGGGGTTCCTTCGTCTCGCTCACTATAGCAGGAGATGTTCATCGTTTTCTCTTGCTTACCTATACTGGAGCAGGAGGCTTTCCATTCTTTGACTGGCTTACCTGTACTATCGATTATCGATCGGTTCATGTGTTCTCGCCGGTTGGAGACACGCATTTGGGACTTGCAGCATTTGCAATTTGATGTTTCGCCTTGCATCTTGTGCCATGAAACGGAAGCTTCGGAATTGAAACTTTGACCGTTTGATGTTTTGGTGTTGGGGTTTGGTACCAACCGTTTTTTCAGGCCTCTTTGATACCACCTGACAAGGAAAGAGAACCAACAGACAAGTCTGCCGACGAACTCTGGTTGCAGTTTACGAGCGAGACAAAAGAACCGCTCTTTAGTTTAGGTACACATGCATGGCCAGCGGACGCTTCCCTCTCTGATGCGGCATAGCTTCATTCATTGGACAGAGCAGCATCAGAGAGCTCTGTCCACCTTTCTTGTTAACAGCAAAACCTAGAAAAAACGAAATGCACCCTCTGACTCCACACACACGCACACAGTTCACTCTCGATTCTGGTCTTTGCGACTGTATTTCTGCATGTGCCCTGTATATATTAGGTTGTATGCCCTCTTGGTTGGGTAACCCGATTGGAGTGAGTATCACGTTGGCGGAGGTCAAACCCACGCACCCACTTTGATCATTTGGTAACCTGGCCTCTTCTGATGGCTCTGGCCGTCTCTGAATCGACACCAGCTTCCTAAACTGATTGCACTGACTTTTGCTCAACATCGCACAACATGGCATAAGGCTCCAGCATGGGAGAAACTGACTTTCCGCTCAGATGCAGCTGCAGGAGCCTTTCAAGCTACAGCTCAGGCCCATCGACAACACAAGCACACCCACCAAGAACAAGCTGACCAACAAGTGCTGCATCTTTGCCGGGCAATGCTCCATTGAAACATGTGAACTTTTTCAATGTGCCGTCAAAGCATCGCAATGCAGGCTTAGCGTCCGCGCGGCAGCTTCATACACAACATTCCAAAATGACACCAATTCACCATACCGGCACTACAACATCACAGCATGTCTGCAAGAATCACACGTCAGCTTGACATCACGATCGCAAGGTTGCATAACCGAGTGACAGCATTCTTCCAATCTCGGCGTGATAGTGCACACAATACAACCATGGTAGGCTGATGGCATGACTCAACATGTCAGCACGACAACATGCCAGCATGATGACATGTCAGCAATACAACATGAACATGTCAGTATGTCAGCGTATACCGGAATCAGCCCCGGAACTTGTTCCAGAACTTACTCTGCAACATCTGCCGGAACCCAGTGATGCTTCTCCGTCCTCCTCATCATCTTCCTCTGACTCCGGCAGGCTGTCCGCACGGACAAAGGCGGTGCCTCCACAACAAGCATCTGCCCTCACAATCTGGGTAACTCATGTAGGCCTATGGCTCTCCCAGGCATTCCGAACAATTGCTACAAAAATGTTTTTGCGGCCGCGTTTTTCATGTCATCTTCAGTCCGGTTTCGA